ATATTATTTTTTATTTTGAGATAATTTCATGGCACATTAATATTTATGCAATAATTAGGATGAATTTCTGCCCATTGAAAATAATAAAATTATATATATTACTTTTCAATGAATGCAGTATCTCATGTTAAAAAATCAAAAATCCAGATTTTGAAGTCAGATTTGTGCCATCTGGTGGGAGAAAAATACGAAAATCTGCAATTCCATGGTTAGCCCATATATTTCTATATAGCTTCATATAAAAGGCCTATCAATTCTCTAATTGTTTTTAGACATAAATACTTATTTTATGAAGTTGTGGGTTTGGATATATATATATATTAAGACATTCTCAAAGACAACTTTTTGTAAAGGTTTAGATTTTTTTGGTTTGAAATGTTGATTTGAAGCGGCAGTTTTTTAACTATTATTACTACAGCCAAACCTGAACACAGAGAAGCATTTTGTTACACAAAACATAAAAATTCTATAAAAATGTAACAAAAATTAACAGAAATGTCTTATCAGAGCTTAATCCTTCTGGGTTTGATCTGATTTCAAACTCTTATTTCAGTTTTCTGACTCGTTTTGGCTATATGGTTATAGCCATACCAATTCATTTGAGTGTGTATAATTGTGTATGTTTGTGTGTGTGTGTGTGTGTTTGTGTGTGAGTGAGTCTGTCTGTTTTGGACTCTTGATGTTTTAGAGTGTAACCTCTTCATTGCTGTCCACTTTTTTTACTGCATTGTAGTTGAATTATTGATTTTATTTTACATATTTGCTGTGTCAGTCACACCAGTTCATATGTGTGTGTGTACACGTGTGTGTGTGAGTGGATATCATTTAAGTGTGTATAATTGTGTATGTTTGTGTGTGTGTGTGTGTGTTTGTGTGTGAGTGAGTGTGTCTGTTTTGCACTCTTGATGTTTTAGAGTTTCACCCCGTCATTGCTGTTTTTCTGACTCGTTTTGGCTATATGGTTATAGCCATACCAATTCATTTGAGTGTGTATAATTGTGTATGTTTGTGTGTGTGTGTGTGTGTTTGTGTGTGAGTGAGTCTGTCTGTTTTGGACTCTTGATGTTTTAGAGTGTAACCTCTTCATTGCTGTCCACTTTTTTTACTGCATTGTAGTTGAATTATTGATTTTATTTTACATATTTGCTGTGTCAGTCACACCAGTTCATATGTGTGTGTGTACACGTGTGTGTGTGAGTGGATATGCTGGTTTTGCACTCTTGATGTTTTAGAGTTTCACCCCGTCATTGCTGTGTCCTTTTTTTCTGCATTGTGTTCAGATTTTTTGTCGATTTCCCATTAATTTCCTATGGTCGGTGATTTTTGACCAAAGACCACAAGTGTGACAATTTTTTTACGACCACTTAGTCTGCTCGAATCATGCCCTTCATGACTTCAAGACTGAAGTGCACCAGAGGGTTATCCACTCCCTTATTAGTGAACATCACTGTTTACAGATAAAGTGATCATATTTACACCCGTTTTACATTTATTAGACCTAGATGATTATTTAAGACTACTGTACCATTTTCAAGAAAAGGGGGGTTGTTGATAATTTGTTAATGAGGCTTCAGTGTTCAGTCCGGTGTTTGATCAATACTGTGATAGATGGACTCTTCTTGAACAGAATCAGTTCTGAGACTCAGATAAACGTCACTATGTCTACTTGAGTTCAGTTCTGTGTAGATCTGATCTGGATCCACACTGTTTCTCACTGCAGCAGCAACATTCATGTAGTCGAGGTCTGTGTCGACTGCTTCTGTGTTTGCAGCAGAACCGTCATCACTTTGAGCTGTGTGTGAGTTTGAGATCACAGCTGGGTTTCCTTTCTCATAAGCATTCTGTGGAATTGGAAAAAGGGAAATGATTGCTTCATCATCAGTTAGTGTAAATATGCAGGTGCGAAGGGCATGGAAATATTATCATCATGATTAAATGGTGTATTGGACAAAAATGTAGCCACTGCTGCATATAGGTTGGGGCGTGATTTTTCAATTTAGCAATTTTCACAGCAATTTTATTTACATTAAATCACACTATTTACACTTTTGAGCACACTGGCGCTTGTGTGTCTCATGACGGATTTCATCATGCTAAAGTGCGGGAGTATCTTTTGAATGAGAAATGACAGCATTAACAGAGCAGGATCATTTTCAGTGATTAAAACCGTATGATTTACTGTGTTCTTCACATAAACATATTGCAAGGCTTCAGAAGACTTAAATTGTAGTATAATGTCATAATATTTGTAATTTCCTTTTATACACCATCACACTTTGTTCAGTATGATGCTGTAAGTTCACTCGATGAGTATAACATGTGGATAGACTTTTACCTATTCATGTGAAGAAATCAGCACTAAAGGACAAACACCATCCACACATAAAGCATATTAAGGAAAACAAAGCAAGAAAGAGGAAGATGAGCTGACCTGTTGAGGAGTTGTGTTGATCTGTGATTGTGATGCTGGTGAATTGTTGATTTAGCTCTGTTGCGCTGACACATGATGGTGTGATTGAAACATAGCTGATAGTTGAAACCTCGGTGTTCTTATCTGAAAACCAAAAATCAACTTATACACACTTTTAGCAAATTCAGAGTGAATTAAATTGTATATATAACCCTGAATTATGCTGTAAATTGGCTTTTATATAATAACATAAACTACAGCTGCTGACATGTTTCTGTGTACATTTCTAATATAGGTCAATGTGCAGAAACCACATTAATCACTTACCCTCTTTAACCAGCAACAAAATATCTGAATAGATACCAGTTAAAGTCCTCTCCACACCACACCAGTATTGTCCTGTATCCTCTGTTCTCAGATCAGTGATGCTGACGGTGAAAACTCTGGCCGTCGTGTTGTCAGTCAGAGAGAACCTCTCGTCTTCAGCTGGAGATCCTGATTTCACCATGATGTTTTTATTTCCAAACTTACACTTGCCTTTACAAAAATACTTTGAATTTGATTCACATCCAGCTTCATAGCTGCATCTGATGTCAACTCTCTCTCCTCTGAGACCAATAACTATTTCTGGAGCAACAACTGAAAACAGAAATATCATTAATAGAGCTGTTATATGTGAGCAAGAGATTTTAGAGCAGAATGATAACTTACACACATGAGACTGATGATCATGCAGTAAAACAATAGAAACATGTCAAATTCTGTACAAAAGCCCTCAAGCTCACCTGTACAGATGCTGGAAAAGAGGAATAGAACGTCCCACATGCTACAATTGTACGCACACTTTGCTTTAATATAAGACAAAAGCTCAGATGTTACAGTCTTTCTTTTCCGTGCTGAGTTTAAAAGCATACTGTGTCAGCAACTTCCTTTCACTTCTCTGTATCCCTGACCACATCAGCTCTTCAGTACATCGTCAGAGAGCACATATGTGATGATTCACTGTATTTGCATACATACGTCACACATCAGCCGTGGAGCAGTGTGCAACATCAGTCATCTGTGGATTCAAATATTTTTAATATTAATATAGACACTGATTGTTTACACACAGAAAAACTGCATGAACTGAGTGTAATATTTTCGATCTCTTTTGCTCAACATTGGAGTGTTAATAGGCCTGCTGCTTTACACCCGTGAGAAAACCTATTAACTGCTGCTAAAAGAAAACTATTGAGACTGTAACACTTCTGTGTGGCCTTTTATTCTGAAGGTAACAAGCTCATTTTCTTCAGTGTGATTAATCACATCAGCGACTAATTCCTCTCCACACTGACCTCTGATGGACAACATGTGAAATGAGCCAAATCCACATTTTATTACAATCCATACATCTATACTGCATCACTGAGGCTCCAGGAAAAAACAAAAGGCAAACTGATACAGAGTCTGATTAAGACTTCATTATGACTGGTAATAATTTAAAGGCATTTAAATGGTCAATTAAAAGCTAATTTGTCAAATCAACCCTGTTCTTTCTATAATGGACTATGGAAGACTCACTGATTTCTATTCATGTAGGTTTGTATCTGTGTTCTAGATTTAAAAAAAACTGCTGGTATAAGCGTATTTATTGCATAGCATCTCCATACATCTTACAACACAATTAAAAGTATTTTGTCAAACCTACCTTGTTCTTATTAAGTGATCGAGGTTTAGCTGGTTAGCAAGAGCCCACTAGCACCTGCTTTTACTTGTTCAAAAACATTTAATCTGGATTAGAGAGATTTGGAAATCCCATGTTTTCTATGCAGGATCAGGTATTTCTTACTTTTGTGCTGGTTTTTCAAAGTAACATCAACCTGATCCAGATTACCAAATCTGGATTTGGTAATGTTTTTATTTAAATATACATAAAACAGCACAATACAAACATCCCTTTCCATTTTTCCATTTTATTTTTTTTTCTTTCTTTTTATTTTTGGTTCATTAAAACCTCATTTGAGGGATGCAACTAAAAACTACTTTGAAGTGGTTCATCTCTGATGATTAATACACAGTGATCAATGACCTGAAGACGAATAATGATTATTTTTGTTTGATATTGAAAGCTGTTTGGGGCAGTATTTATGGATTATTGTAGGTAACCTAATGTCTGCTTCAACTAGAATGGTTAAATGAGTCAAGAGCAAAATAAAAATATAAATCTGTGTGCATGATACAAATAGTGCATTTTCCTGATAATTTTTTTTTTAAGTTGCATTACTTCTTTTATCAAAGGTATCTCAGTCTTACTGAAAGATTTGATACAGATCCAAAAAAAGTGATGTAATCCAATTTTAGAATCCTTTTTTTTAATGTTGAACTACCCATTTTCAAGAATTGACCCAATTCGATCGGATTGACCAACATCTAATCAGAATCACATATTTTCCCTTGATGACCACTTAAAATGTTTCCTGACAAAATATGTTTAATTTTGCAACATTTCAGTTACAAATATTTCAGCTCAGGAAAGCCACAGTGAAGGTTTGAGAATGATTGTTTTCTTGTGATGTCATCAGCCAGTCAGTAGCGTGATGATGTCATTGCCCTGATTATCCAGTCAACATCACCCTTTACAGATAAAGTGATCATATTTACACCCATTTTACATTTCTTAGGCTAACACGATTATTTAAGACTACTGTACCATTGCCACTCCCTAATTAGTCAACATCACCATTTACAGATAAAGTGATCATATTTACACCCATTTTACATTTCTTAGGCTAACACGATTATTTAAGACTACTGTACCATTTTCAAAGTTTATGCAATATTCATATTCAATAAAAGTAAAAAAAAAAAAAAAAAAGGGTTTTGATCATTTGTTGATGAGGCTTCAGTGTTCAATCGAGTGTTTGACTAATACTGTGATAGATGGACTCTTCTTGAACAGAATCAGTTCTGAGACTCTGATAAATATGACTCTGTCTACTGGAGTTCAGTTCTGTGTAGATCTTTGCTTTTCTCACTGCAGCAGCAACATTCATGTAGTCGAGGTCTGTGTCGACTGCTTCTGTGTTTGCAGCAGAACCGTCATCACTTTGAGCTGTGTGTGAGTTTGAGATCACAGCTGGGTTTCCTTTCTCATAACCATTCTGTGGAATTGGAAAAAGGGAAATGATTGCTTCATCATCAGTGAGCAAGATTGTGAACCCTGACTTGAGAAGAACTAAAGTTCATGACACAGTTAATTATAGATATGTTAGGCGAAGATAATCCTGACTCACATCTTTTCTTCTCTTTTCTGTCAGATGAAGCCCTTCAGCAGAAGAGGAGACCCAACCTGTAATAGATGAATATTACATTACTCTTAAAACTCCCATGCTAGCTTGAATCCAGTGCCACAGTCTCAAATATTGTGTCCAGTCCAGCAAGAATATGACTAAAATAATTCTGAAGACAAAGACAAAATGAAATCCAAATTGAATAAACTCAGTTTTATTTAGAATTGTTCTGAATGATTAGATCTGATTTCAAGTACAATGAACTGAATTGAACACATTGAACTGAACATGAAATCTTTAAGTAGAAAGACTGAAATAGTTTTTACTTGTAAACCTTCAAAAAAATAATTTTGCACAGTGTAGATGTTCTGTTATTAGAGACTAGAAAGAAAAAGAAATGTCTGAATTCACTGGTGACACATCAGAAATGTAGATTTTATTGATTCATTCATTATTACCCCAAGTCTTTTTCTTCCATACGGCCACAACAAGCAATACAGCAGAGATCAGGAGCAAAACCAAACCTCCTGCAGTGATGATGACGACGACGAATAAATCTGAGAACCAACAGAAGCAAAAGTCCAGCTGTGATAATGCAAGAACCACCAACTCACTTGGGGATGTAGAGAGTGTCCGTAAAGGAAAAAAATATCAGTCAGATGAAGAAATCAACGTGACATCATACAGAAATAAAGCATATGAAAGAAAATTTACTGAGAGAGGAAGGGCAGAAGCTGATCTGACCTGGTGAGGAGATGTGATGATCTGTGATCGTGATGGAGCTGGATTGTGGGTTCAATTCTGATCTGCTCAAATGGGGCGGCGTGTTTGAAAATGAGCTGATCGTTCGATCTGAAGGGAATATTTTTCGATGTCCTTACTACGTTTCTGGACGTTGACAGTGTTAATTACATTGCTGTCTATGGAGGATCAGAGCGCTCTCGGGATGCATGACAAATATCTTAATTTGTGTTCCGAAGATGAACGGAGGTCTTACGGGTTTAGAATGACATGAGGGTGAGTAATTAATTACAGAAATATAAATTTTGGGTGAACTATCCCTTTAAGTCTCTGATCTCCACCAGTTTTAAAATCTATTAAACATTGGTTTAAAAACAGATTTCATGCATGTCTTTCAAAGTAAACGTCTTGCATCAGAAAAACATGGAATGACTGTTGTTGTTTCTTTGACCACACACTCCTTGACCCACACAAAACTGTCTTGCGACCCACCAGTTGAGAAAAACTGGTCTAGATGGCATAAAAGAGTAGCGCAATAAACAGTGGGTCGCTTCAGTCCTGGGGGGCACACTCGTTTTTAATGCTACCTATTGTTGCGGGCATATTATTGACATGTAAAAGTCTAGACCCTGAATATAAGATGACCCCATTTTATTTCAGAACAAATATGGGTAAAAATCTATCTTTACAGCACATTTAGCTTGAGTTTAAGACAGCGATAAATTGATCATTTTTACACTCTTTTACAAGACCTACAAGATTATTTAAGACTACTGTTACCATTGTTTGATTGTTTGTGGGGCTTCTGGGCTCAGTCGAGTGTTTGATCAATACTGTGATAGATGGACTCTTCTTGAACAGAATCAGTTCTGAGACTCAGATAAACGTCACTATGTCTACTTGAGTTCAGTTCTGTGTAGATCTGATCTGGATCCACACTGTTTCTCACTGCAGCAGCAACATTCATGTAGTCGAGGTCTGTGTCGACTGCTTCTGTGTTTGCAGTTCTGTGAAACTCGTTTGCAGAAGAACCATCATCACTTTGAGCTGTGTGTGAGTTTGAGATCACAGCTGGGTTTCCTTTCTCATACGCATTCTGTGGAATTGAAGAAGGAAGACTTGAGCAAGAAAGTGAACCTTGATTTTTACTTAAGAAGAAATCTTAAATAAAGATGATCCTGACTCACTTCTTCTGCTTTTATTGTTGTCACATGAAGCTCTTCAGTAGAGAAGGGAACCAGACCTGTGATAGATAAATGCTGTTTTTGTTTTAAAACGGCCAGTAACTGAATTCAGTTCTTCATGTTAGCTTCAATCAAAATATTATGTCACTGCCTCAACAGTTGTGTTCGGACCAGTAGTTAAATAAATAAATGAGTAAATAAGTAAGTAAATAAATAAATACAAAATCTGAACAGAAAGAAAAACTGTGATCCAATTGTGTAAAGTCCCCTGTAATTTCATGTTGTTTGTGCATCATTCCTCGTTTTCATTTAGTTTAACTTGATGTACGAAAATAACACAACTTAAATATAAATTAACCCAAACTATATAGACATATTAATATATATATATATATATATATATATATATATATATAATTCAACTGAAATAAATAAAGAAAATAGAAATAGAAAAATAGTCCATTCAAAATAATAAAACCTAGTATCTCAATGACATTACAATAAGACTGATCTGAATTCACTGGAAACATCATACATTTAGATTTTATTCATTCATTTGTTCATTTATATAGTTCAAAAATATTACCACAAGTCTGCTTTTTCTTTCGTACCGCCACAACTAGCCTGTTCTGACTCTGGTGAATTTTTGTTGAATTGCATGGAAACCAATGGGGGGTCAATTTGACCCCAACAAAATTAATGTATCCATAATTTGTACAGTCTTTCTAAAACACATATGTATCAAAACTCTGAATGCACACTGATAACCCTAAATGAGAAAAGTTACATGCATGCATGAGCTACTACAGCTACTGACTCGTTTTCATGTACATTTCTACTATAGGTCCATTTGTAGAATTCACATTAATTTCTTACCCTGTTTAACCAGCAACAATAAATCTGAATAGACATCAGTAGTTAAAATCCTCTTCACAGCACACCAGTATTGTCCTGTATCCTCTGTTCTCAGATCAGTGATGCTGACGGTGAAAACTCTGGCCGTCGTGTCGTCAGTCAGAGAAAATCTTTTGTCTTTAGCTGGAGATCCGGATTTAACCATGATGTTTTTATTTCCAAAGATACACTTGCCTTTACAAAAATACTTTGAATTTGATTCATATCCAGCTTCATATCTGCATCTGATGTCAACTCTCTCTCCTCTGTGTCCTGTGACTGTTTCTGGAGCACCAACACCAGCTGAAAACAAAACATAATCAGCCAGGACCATCACATTTACTGCATTAAGAAATACTGTCTACTGATTGTAAAATATTGTGGAAAATTGGAAAATTAGAGAAGTTTAAAACTGTCACAGGCAAAATAACTCACCAATATGCATGCAGGACCAGAGAAGAAGAAGAAAAAAGCTCCACATGATGAGGATTAATGGCACTTTTGACTAAATTAAACCCTTAAAAACAGACTATTTTTTTTCCGTCTTCCGTGCTGACATGCGTATGGTGCAATGCTTAACTTCTCCTTCCCCTTCCCTGTTTTTATTACGAAATTTCTCACTACATGATGATATCTTCCCATTTAAAGGTTAATGTGCATATAAAAAAAAAAATATCAGAACAGATCTAATTCATACAATTTGTCAGTGTTATTATGCTTTTATGTGGCCTCAGAAAGTATTTGCATAGTAATTGCAGAGAACATCACATTACATTTCTCTAAATACACTTTTCATAATTGTCACTCAATTTCATTTAATAAGCTTAAATTGTGTATTGAATATAAATGCTTATTTTTTATATCTTGTTATACAATGCAATGAGAATACATCATTTAAAATTGTGAATGTTTGGGGATAATCATACGATCAAGCAACAAGAACTAGCAATTTGCCATTCAGAGGTACTAAATATTATATAATTATAAAGCTTCTGTAGTCTTATTGAATTATAATTATTTTTAAAATTTAACTGCCTTAAATACTCTTGTTTTGCTTCTCGTGCTTTACAATTAACTATATATATATATATATATATATATATATATATATATATATATATATATATATATATATATATATATATATATTACTAATATTTACTCCGGGGAAAAATGCATATTTTGATAATTTATCAAACATCTCGTACACCCCTGAACAAGCTAATCAAGGGCTTCAGGATTGCTAGAAAGTTACATACAGGTGAGTTTGATCAAGGTTGGAGCTAAACTCTGCAGGAACATGGACCTCGAGGGCCAGAGTTGAGAACCTCTGCAGTAAAGCAATGACAACAACAGAAATACATTTGAACTACAAATTAAAAGTGCACTTGTCAAATCAACCGCATCCACTGTCCTTTATGAACAATGGAATATATTGTTGCGTTCAGATTAGTGATGTCTGACTGGTGCTGAGTTTTAACAGATTAATAAAGTGTTTCTACTCCTTCATTCGGGCTCATTTCAAATGTCTCACTGGTCTTCACACTGCAGTTGGGTTCTTTGATAAACTGCACAGAGGAATAGTTCAGACTATCTGTTTGTGCAGTGACATTCGGTAGGGTATAAATCAGACAATCAGGTTGATGTGCAGATGATGTCAAACTGGAGGAGTGTCTCTTCTGCTTATACTTTAGTTTGATAAATATGAAGAGGACGACTGTAAAAATCAGCACCAGAGCACCGAGACCAGCACCATCATGAACCATATGATCTGAGGACAGAAACCAGCACCCAAATTAAACTTTTCTTTCCTTCCTATCTGACACACACACACACACAAACACACACACACACACAAACTGTGTAAATCTCATTTACCAAACAGTGCTGATCTGCTCATGATTTCTGGTGAAGTGTTGGCAGTCGACCGCCTCGTCACTGATGTTCTCTTATTGTCTAAAAATATAGACAATCTCACAACACATGCAAATGAAGAAACGCTGCAAATCCTCACAACAAGTGGCATTCAGTGCTCTGGAGTGGTAGATTATTAGCCACATTATTATTGAAGGCACATTTTTTTCTGTAATGAATGCTATTCATTAGCTAAGACGGCTGATAGGAAACAACGACCCACAAAACTCGCTAAAATAACTTCTGAAACATATTCGGTGCATAACTTACCCTCAATCACATGTAGAGTTACATAGTTGTAAGTGTCTTTAAAAATCTGTCTACTGCACAGATGTAAGTGCCAGAGTCTGATAACCACAGGTCAGTGATGATCACGGTGAAGTCTGATCCTTCATCAGACAAAGTGTATCTACCTGTGCGAGTCAGATTCTCTCCCGTCTCAAATCGAATGAGAATATTATCACCCACACAAGAGTCTCTGCAGAAATATTTGATGTTTCCATCAGCTAGGAAATGTGAACAATGAAATGTGACACTTTCCCCCACTGGAGCAGATCGAGGATTCAGAGACTCCACTGGAAGTGCCAGACAGGATGTGACATCACATGAATAACTGAATAAATAGCACAAGTCAGTCCAAAAATCATTCATATTAAATGTAATCATGCCCCAGTCTTTAGATACTAATTTTCTCACAAAGAGTGAGTGAATACTAACTCATCTGTGGAGATGTGGGAGAGGAAATCTAGAAAAATCCACATGCAGAAAAGACGCCTTCCTCCTGCGTGGCAAGACAAAGTATTTACTTCTCTTTTTGTCTCGCCATTCTCTTGAGACATCTGCAGTGATGCAATGGTGACGTAACGTGACCTGTAGTCACTCTAAACTCACACACGTCTATACCATCACTGAGTCTCAATTTTATTTGGATATAAAGTTCATGTTCCATGGAAATATTTTGTAAATTTCCCACTGTAAATATATCAAAACTTATTTTTTTATTAGTAATATGCATTGCTAAGAACTTAATTTGAACTTTAAAGGCGAATTTCTCATTATTTCAATTTTTTTTTGTACCCTCAGATTCCAGATTTTCAAATAGTTGTATCTCGGCCAAATATTGGTCTATCCTAACAAACCATACATCAATGGAAAGCTTATTTCATTCAGCTTTCAGATTATGTTTTTTTTTTTAAATGTACCCTTATGAATGGTTTTGTTGTCGAAAATGCAAAGCAGACACCGGTGATAAGCAGAATAGTACGAGTTATAACTTTACAATAGTTTATTAGGCAGTTTCTGTTTCACAAATCTATACCTGAGACATATGAGCATTATTTCTGTATCTATTTAATAGGTAAAATACCATCTTAAGCTGGTTTTGTGAAAGCAACACATGACGTTTGGATGTTTGTAGCTGTCAGAGGAAACTAGGATTCTGATTGGCTGAGGATTCGGTGTTCAGTCTTTCATCTGATCAATAGTGTGATAGATCGACTCTTGAAGAGAATCAGCTGTGAGACTCTGATACACTTGACTCTGTCTATTGCTGTCCAGTTCTGTGTAGATCTGATCTTTTGTTTGTGCTGAAACAACATCAATGTAGTCAGCTGGTTCTGTGTTTGTATAATCTGGGTTTGTGGGTCTATAAAGTTCCTCTTTTTCACTTTGAACTTTGGGTAAGTCTGGAAGGTCACGGTGTGTTCTCTGGTGGCCATCCTATATGAAAGAAATATATATGATCAGGTTAATCAGAAAATGATATGCAGATAACAGTATGATAAGCTGTAGAAGTTCAGGAACTCACTGGCACTGGGTTTGATATAGTCCTGGTGCAGTGGAGAACAGAACCTGATCAGAATGGATAAAGATTTAAGTGACTGATTTTTCTTAAATGGATCATTATAATGTTATATTATCTATTATACCACGAATAGATGTGTAGTCTTGTTTGTTCTTGTTTATTTTTTTATTTTTTTTAATGATAATGGAAATAAGTGTTTTGTAAGTAAAATAAGTGTTCAGTTATTTAAAATGTTGTTATTTCTTAGTTGCTGCTATAAAATTATATTATGTATATTTTTGGCATTATATCAGCCATGTTACTCTGAAGATTTTCACGTTAAAGTATCATGGGCTTCAACAGAATGTGAGCGTTAAAGGGAAGTCTAAGTGACTTTCTGTATCAGGTGAGACATATTAGCATGTGTTGATCATGTGGTTTCAAATAAATCACGTGGTGTTGGTGTGCTTGAGATGATCCACAGAGATCTGCTCACCTGAATTACTGCGGCTGTTGTGCTTGAGGACTTGAAACAGGCCGAACAGACACACGAAAAACAGGGCGCCAACACACATCAAAGCCACCATCATCATGAACATCGAGTAAGACTCTGTTGATACAAAGCTGACAATGACTTGCCTGAAAAAAGCAAAACCACATGCTCTGTGGGTGTGTGTGTGTGTATGTGTGTGTGCAGGGCCATTTCTAGGCATAGGCGAGCTAGGCGGTCGCAACTGGTGTCTGAAAAGAATTATATATATACAGTATATATATAATTTGGGGGGGGGGGGCAATAGGGATTTCGCCTAGGGCGTCAAATTGGCTAGAAACGGCCATGTGTGTGTGTGTGTGTGTGTGTCTGTGTTTCGTAAACTCGCCACCAGGCTCTTCCGGGAACAGGTCTGTGGTTTGCTCTTGTGGATGTTCTGCACAGAAAACAAAAGTGAAAGGTGTGTAGTTAATCCTCATATACAGAAACCTCGGCTGGCATTCATTTACCCCCGTATGTGTGTGTGAGTTCACTTCCCACACTGACTCATTACGAGACGTGTAAGAGGAAGACCATGCTGTATCACATCCCATCTGAAACCCATATGAGGCTCAGTGGCACCTCAAAAATCCCCATAACTGATACACGTCAGTGTTTATGATGCCAAACAGATAGTTATCTCAATTATAATCATAACATGGGTTTGTGACAAATGGACATGTATGTTTTATTTATTTATTTGGTCATCATGAAGGTTTTAGGTTTCACTATATTATTTCAATAGTCCTGCTGTGTAACAATGGTTATAAAATACTAATTGTCCATTGTATCATGGTTCAGTTGACAGTAAGTCTCATAAACCACATGCACAATGTAAAAGCAGTTGTTTAAAATAACTTTAGATGGAGACCGAATGTACTTTTTTCCAACAGTTAGACTCCCTGCTGCATTCATGCAAACTGATAAAGTTTCTTGTTTATTAATGCTAAAGATCTCTTTATTATGCGTAGACATCACACTGGAGAGCTGAATAATTGAACATGGAAGTAATTCCTTATAAATATTACAAGTTTATTCGATTGTAGAAGGTAAACCTCACCAATTCCAATCATAAAGGATATTTAATTTTATTTGTTTGTATTTTCACGTCTATCGCGGTTACTTTTAACGTAAGGTTGCAGTGTTGCATTTTTACACAAGTTTCTGGTGTTCATGCGTTTTTAAACTTTGCCAGTTTAAAGTTTAAAACGATGTTAAAATGCAATAAGACGTAAGATAACTCCATTCGGCAATCGCATCGCTCTGATTTTCCGAATTTTGAATGTAAATCCGGCTCTGAAATTACAATGCATCTAAAATTTTCAGCAAAAATAACTGTTGTGATTTAGATCGTTATTGT